AAGAAAGAATAAACTAGTTTTATTTAAGAAAGGACTTGTATCGCTAAAGTTTCTTCGGAAAGAATTTTTACGGAAAATTAGCAAACGAACACAGAGACGTAACAGTATCTAGAATTTCAACTGCGTAAGTTCTATTTTGGAACAACGTATTTTCAAAACACTTAATTGTATCTTCAACTGAAACTTTTGTAAATAATGATATTGCATCAAATGATACCAATAAATCATTCTTATTATTATTATGACGAAACACGTAGAGTCATTATTTTGAAATGGTTTTAATTGTGTATTGATTTTAACGTTGTATTTTTATTATTTTATTATTATACACAAGTGCCGAATTGAATATATAAATAAAAGTGTTGCTCTAGTGGTTAACATAGAAAGCTACGGGTCTGAAGATCTGAAATTCGAGGCACGGCGGCACTGAGTGTACTTCCCACTTTCAGCTGTAGGCGGATTTAAAACTAACAGTCAATCCCGTCACTTGTTGTTCCGAAAGCCTGAAATAGTCTTTGTTGTAATGGGTCCTACTGTCTAGCTTCTCCATCTAGTCAGTTGTTCAAAATTAGGGATGGTTATGCTTAACTGAGCCTTACAAAGTCCTGACTTGATCGTTTAGCCCACGTGTGCTGCAGGTACCGTTCAGGTCGAAAATGCCAATAACAATGATAAATATAATCCTTTTTTTTTTTTTTAGAGCGTGCTATGGTCTGGTAAAACTGGAAGTTAATTAGTACCACAGTAGCAAAAATTTTAGGAGTGTTCCAAAGTCAAATTCGACCAGAAGAAACAGTTCAAGATTAAACACAGTTGTTTCACTTTGAAATAAAACATTGTTGTTAGAGCTACCAACATTCACGCTGCTTGGCCTATTCTCACGCTCCCGTTTTCTATAACATATTGTGTTGTTTGACTGGCTGGTTCCAAGTCAAATTCGGCATCACGTTAAGCCAGGAAATGCACCAGATTGTACGATTTTGCTTCAACGAATTAAAAATTTTCGAGGGGGAGCATGCTCCCTGACCTTACTCTAGTAGATGACTGTTTTCAGCTCTTCAAACAAATTACAGTACTGAACTGCGCGCTAACATTTTACTTTTTCTAAATTCTCACTCAAACAGATTCCTAAAGGTTATCAGCTCTGCATTTATTACAATATCAACATTCTAAAATCTCCTCTTTCTCAGCGTGTGGTCAGCATTTATGTACAATACAAACACGAGGCGAATTCTGAAGAACTGCAATAGATAATCCAGATTATCGCCAAGGCAAAGTTGACGTATCAGTTCACAGCACGAACGCTTGGACCAAGAACTAACTCTGTCTGTGACTGTATTCAATCCTAAGAGCAATAAGAAACACAACCAACATCACTTCATGTTCACCATCCAAGAGAAACCAAAGTTTCTGACTTTATGTTCGCACATAACTAACCTGCTAGATCGCGCTCAGACATGCTCAGTGAATTATCCAACAACAAGGCTAGGTGCCAGGATATATAGATTCTCTGTTTGTGCTTACGAATATGGAGAAGAAAATCCTTAAGTACATTATTAAAGATTTCAAATTTGGGTACATTCTGTTTATGCAGAACATCTAACTAAATACAAAAACGTGCTAAAATAATTAGAAAAACTGAATATGTTGAATGAAACAGATATTTAGTTTTCAGTTAATAAAAGGATAACACATGATCCAGAAAACAATTAAGTTAATTTTGTTGTAGCTGCCTTTGTTCCTTTGTTGTTCTGTGAAAATAACACCTGTTCTACCCATAGAGAATTGGTTGTAATTGTGCACATTGTACAAGAAGGTCGACAGCAAGTGTCCTCCAATAGTAAGCCAGATGGCATCTTGAGGTTACAGCCTACCATACATCAAATGAGAATGACAAGTCACCTGTTAGCACTAGTCGTTATGGGAACATTTGAAGTTTCCTGTTAAGTAAGAAACATCAACTGTAAATGTTCTTTCATAGATCTTGGTTGAATAAACTTTTTTGTTCTTTATCTTAAGTGGGTTGGTTAAAGGGAAAGACATCTTGAAGGAAGAAAGCCAGTTAACCAATTGAAGAATCTAGTGAAAGGTGGCCAACCATCTAGAATCCAGAAGTAAACAAATTGTGTTTTTGTCCTTGATTTAAATACATATTGATTTTAATTTATGTTATACATTGTGTCCAGCCTGTTTATTTCCTTGATTTAACTCAGTTAATTTATTTAAATACCGCGTTAATTCACTCACCCCCCATTATAAAGCGGATCTATCTTACACTCTTTGAGGAAGTAAGTTTAACCCGAGAATACAAAAAGTGGGTATTTTTTTTATTCTAAGAAAATGGTCAATGGGATCTCTCAATGGTCTGTTTTGAGGAATTTTTGTGATCGTTATTTATCTTAACGATTTTGGCACCTTGTAGGAGGGTCTGATCCGATGGTGATGTTCTCTTAAAAAAAAACCTTAGTGGTTTTAGTGATTTGATCAAAACGAAGAAAATTCAGTACTGAGAAGTATAGAACTATGTTCTTAAGGTATTGTAAGCTTAAAATGACTTAATTCTTGCTTGCTTGTCTCCATGAATACAAGAAGAGCGTTTATGTTCGATCGTTGATAAAATCCTCGACCGTTGAACTGAGTATTTAGTTGTGGTGTAAAGTGCAAATAAGGTTATATGTTATAGTTATAGTACTTTCGAATTTAAGACTAAGAAGTTGATTTCCATACTAAAGTAATGATAACATGTCTGTAAGGTTGTAGCAATAAGATAGAATGACACGTTTCTGCGAGAATTTAATTTTTGAGAATAGAAACTTCACTCATATGAGACGATAGCAGCATCAACTGATCTAAAGGGTTAACTCACTAAATATTGCTAGTAAGTGCTTTGTCAACTGATCTAAAGGGTTAACTCGCTAGCTATTGTTGGTAATGCTTTATCAACTGATCTAAAGGGTTAACTCACTAAATATTGCTAGTAATGCTTTATCAACTGATCTAAAGGGTTAACTCACTAGCTATTGTTGATAATGCTTTGTCAACTGATCTGAACGGTTAACTCGCTAGCTACTGTTGCTAAGTTCTTTGTCAACTGATCTAAAGGGTTAACTCGCTAGCTACTGTTGCTAAGTGCTTTGTCAACTGATCTAAAGGGTTAACTCGCTAGCTACTGTTGCTAAGTGCTTTGTCAACTGATCTAAAGGATTAACTCACTAAATATTGCTAGTAAGTGCTTTGTCAACTGATCTAAAGGGTTAACTCGCTAGCTACTGTTGCTAAGTGCTTTGTCAACTGATCTAAAGAGTTAACTCGCTAACTATTGTTGGTAATGCTTTATCAACTGATCTAAAGAGTTAACTCGCTAGCTACTGTTGCTAAGTGCTTTGTCAACTGATCTAAAGGATTAACTCACTAGCTATTGTTGGTAATGCTTTATCAACTGATCTAAAGATTAACTCACTAAATATTGCTAGTAAGTGCTTTGTCAACTGATCTAAAGGATTAACTCACTAGCTATTGTTGGTAATGCTTTATCAACTGATCTAAAGGGTTAACTCACTAAATATTGCTAGTAAGTGCTTTGTCAACTGATCTAAAGGATTAACTCACTAGCTATTGTTGGTAATGCTTTATCAACTGATCTAAAGGGTTAACTCACTAGCTATTGTTGGTAATGCTTTATCAACTGATCTAAAGGGTTAACTCACTAGCTATTGCTAGTAATACTTTATCAACTGATCTAAAGGGTTAACTCACTAGCTATTGCTAGTAATGCTATAGTTACTGATCTAAAGAGTTAACTCACTAGCTAATGTTAGTAATACTTTATGAACTGATCTAAAGAGTTAACTCACTCGCTAATGTTAGTAATACTTTATGAACTGATCTAAAGAGTTAACTCACTAGCTATTGCTAGTAATGCTTTATCAGCTATATAAAGGATTAACTCACTTGCTATTGCTATTAAGGCACTTTATAATAACTTAAAGTACAACGTTTTGAAAAATTTGAGCTAGAATGAATGACTTAAAATTATAGCTGTTTTCTATGAATCAAAGAAGTTGTGGAAGTAAGTTGTTTCAGGTGTTTTTTGGACTGCCCGTAAAAAGACGAGTGATCTATTTTAGTGAAAGTGTTAGAAATAGAAACTTAATTATGTTATTGCTAAATGGCTTAAACTTTGGAAGCTCACACAGAGACTTTCTCTCTGAGGAAATTATTTCTATTTTAGAGTTACAATCATGAGAAATGTATTTCCTGATGATATTGTGTTTGCAACTGATTTGAGTTATTTTGGCCTTTTCTTTTAGTTAGATATACACATAATACGAGCTTTACTAAATTAGCATTAATGTTTTGATTTCTGAGAAGTGATCTCTATGGACTATATGAGAATAGAGAAATTGCCCTTACCAATTATTATGGTGTTTCTAAAATGTGAATCAGACTATTATTTTAATTCACAGCGATATTTTGCATACCAAATTAGGTTTCATGTTAAAATTGGAAAGGTATTTTCTCATAACTAACTTAAGAAATGATAAATGAAAGGTTTTTAGACTTTTTTTTCAAACATTTGGGCTAAAAATTTGGTTTTGTGGTAGACAGCCCATTATGTAGCTTAACAACAAACAAGCAAAAAATCAAACGTTTGTATATTCTAAGTTAAACAAAAAAAAAGCAACAGAAAACTTAATTTTTTTCTGAGGGTGAGTACGAGTGCTGGGTACAAAGCAAAAACACCTGCATTGAACAAAGACAATGCCAACTATGATTAAATAGTGATTCGAACTATATTTCAATACTAAGTATCATCATGACTTCCCAGAATACCAAAATCCACATCATAAAGCAAGTCCACTTAAGTGAAAAAGGTAAACTGAGGTTATAATTTATCTCCAGATAAAACCAACACGCCATGAAAATTCATTAAAACGAGCCTAATGTATTATCCATCAAGTTGGTCAAATGTGAAAACTTAAAAGTTTTTGGTCAAGATTACTCGAGCTTGTGACTGAACTGTCTTATCTTAAGGAAAGAATTAGCGTTGTTTAAGACAGAGTACATCCTGTTTGTTCAGAACTTGTAACTGCGTTCAGAAGTCTGTACTAAAATAAAGAAAAAGAAAAATATGTACGAATAAAGATATATTCTGTTATATCTTATTCTGTCGTTCGGTGGGTTCTTTTAGATTATTTGCACGCACGTACGCAGGGGGTGGGGATTCGAGGGTGTTCGATAGAACCCTTTATTTTTGTGATGAAAAAGTTTATATAGTTATAGCGCAGCTGCTTATGGTATTTAACGTTTTATACATAGTCTACATTCTACTAATGAAGCATTCACATTTTATGGCTTGAAATAGTCGCAAGAGAATAACACCCTGTTCCTTCTATCAAACGTGGTTAGGGGGTTCGACTCGCAACTTGCAGGTTCAAATCCTTTCATCGAACAAATGTGCTCGCTCTTTCAGCCGTGGGGGGAGTTATAATGCGACGGTCAATCCCACTTTTTGTTAGTAAGGAGTAGCCCAAGAGTTGGCGATGGATGGTTTGAATGGAGCGTCGAGAACCAGCAAGGGCCCCTTGCGGCACCCCTTTCTATCTTTTTATCATTTTTAAGATCTTATTTAAAAGAAGATCCTAAATTAGGACACAAGGCAAAACTATAACAGCAGCCGTTTTTAGCTCACTGCATAAGCTTTACGGCATACCCATGTTTCATTTGCCAGGGCTCCTAGGCAGTTGCCACTTTGCCCCCTCTGTAGGCGGGCCTGGTGTTGACTAGCTGCCTTCTTTCTAGTCTATCACTTCTTTTGTGTGAAATTCAACAAAACAACAAACTAGCAAACATCTAAATTGAAACATCAAAAATAAAGATTATAATATTATTTTAAAAGTTGGCTTAGCTCATGATATCTAGACGTTATACATCAATGAATGACTTACAAGCGGGATCTTCCACAGCATTTCATGATATATATATATATATATTTCTTAAGTTATATTGTTATTAAACTAATTACCAATTAAATTAGGCGCAATATTAAAATCTTAAATTATGAATTATAATAGTATTCCATTATTCATCCTATAGTTGTTAACGATTTTATACATTAAATATTTATATTTTAAAGTAGCTTGATAGTTAAGTTATCAAAGTGAACACAATAATTTTAGCTATTTTATCATCTGTATTACATTTGTTTACATACATCGCTGTCTCTACCAGAAGAACAAAAACAATATTTTTATTTTATTTTAAGAAATGTACACCAAAACTTATTTTGACGCAGGTGTCCTTTTAAGTTTGTATCAAAGCGTGGTAAAAACCATAGTAACGAGAATGTTTTGAGTCTGTGTTCTATAGTTGGCAATGCCAAAGTTAGTAGTTTCTGTGGTACTAAAGTTACGAGTTGGGGCGTGGACGCTATATAAAGTTGAGGTACATTATGTACTCTTAAACCAAGGTCTTTCGAATGACAAAACCAAATCAAAATTTAGCGAAAATCAATAAGGAAAAGTTACGATGTTTATAAATTATAATCCAATTCACTGCTCGCAGCTTGCTCAGCCTACGTTGCATACTGTTACTAATTGCTATGTTTGGCTCTGAATCTGAGTGTTGTGAAGTACCTTGACTAGATTTTGAATAACAAAACCTACTGCCCCATCAATTCTATACTTATGTTAAACATAACTGTATTGTGTTAGCCAAGGCAAGACGTTCTAACTGTTATTTATTTTACTGATTTAGTGATTACCATCTTTAGTATATATAATTGGTAGTTACGTTCTTCAAGCCACAAATCAGAAAGTATAGATTTTTTTTGTATAAGCTAACATGTCTTCTGCAGCAGAGTTTGAACAATATTTTGTTGAAGGTGACACACAACATGATAGTGTAAACGAAGCAAGGCCAACTCAAACACTTGTGAAAAACATGTTCATTTCACCTTTTTGGCAGTTTGTTATTGGTGCTACAGTATTAAATGGAGCATACCTGTTAGGAGTGTTTGGCTTTAGTCTGTTATGGTTACTCCTTGGAAGTTTTCTGTGGGTGGCATGTGAAGCTTATATACATAATAAAGAACTTTATCAAACTGTACGTACTGATGAAAAAAGTGCAGTGTTAGCAAGACTAGAAGATTTACCAACATGGGTGAGTTTTTCCATTATCTTTTGTGTTAGAATAGTATTCAGAGTGCTAAATTTAATTACTTCATGCCTGCTTTTATGCTTTAGAATGTTAAGATTTTCAACTCGTTTGTTCAGCACTCAACATTCTAATGCACTACACCATCGTAAGTTTATTGGAGAGGTTTACAGAAAGACTATCTCTGGCTTGGGTTGTGATTACCATGGTTCATACGAAGGGATATCCTTAGTATTCTAAGTGGTTTTGTCATAATAACTGGATATTCAGTTTATCCATTCACCAGTCATTGCAAATTTCAAGTAATAGTTTAGGAAGATGTATGAAACATGAGTACAGTGAATATTTGGTTATCTACTTGATTATAAAATGTGTGTGTTTCACAAAAAATCAGTCTTCTTAACTTTTTTTTTATACTGAAAATGGGGAAAGGTTTGTTTGGGAAAGAGATGAAGATAAAGTTAAATGTTTCCACACACAAATCTTAGTCTGCTCAGTTAGAAGCAATATCTTATATAAACTTCAAATCTTAAAGTGTATATAACATAATTTACTTGTTATACTTAAATTGTGATCTGTGGTGCTATAAATTTTTTATTTTTTTGCTTATAGAAAGTAGCAACTGTTGATAAGTATAGATCCAACACAACCAAATTCTCTCAAAACCCATGGTCATATTAAGTGTCCTGCAGACCAAAGACAGTTTTTTTTACCTTTGATAACATACTAGATCAAGACTCATTAACCCTTATACAGTTTTTTAAATTGATATTTTAGGCATTTTTTAATCTTAACAGTTTTGATTATGAGAATTAAGTTTAAGATCTCCAACCTTACTAGGTAAGTAGTTGTTAATATATTTCATATATTAACCCAATTAATTTCTGACTATAAGTGTTTCATTAAAATAGTTATGAATTTTGATCAGTTGGGGGTCTAAAACCAGACAGTTTCACTGCAATACTCCACATTGACAGATGTGCAAAATGTAATTTATTTATATAGTATTAGACACTTTTATTTAAGGAAAAGGCTTTTTAAATGTTTTCTGGCAGAATTTGTATGCACATCAAGTATTATCTTGTAAAAATAGAAAAGTCTACCAGATTTTGTATTACTTAGAATGAACAAATTCTAAGAAGTTAAAATGTTTAAAGAATTTTTTTATTTAAGACTTGTGACATGGTTTCATGTAAAATTAATACTCAAAGCAAGCTTACTGGTTTCATAATTACATATTTATTGATTTATTGTTATAGTCACTTTTAAGTTATGAAAATTAAAGGAATTAAGTTATTCATACAGGTCATACTAATGAAAACCTTACATGTTTGTACAGGCTTTAACCTTATTATATTAACTATACATTTCATCCAATTAGTTAAAACAAGAATTCCAATTTTTATTGAAGAACATACTTGAAAAGCTCCAAAGTTATTTTTAGTGGTTGTCATTGTTTTTAATTACAGGACATACATTCATGGTTCAGTAAAACAAGTACAAGTCAATTGATTTCTTTTTAGTTCAAATATATAATAAACAGGTACAGAAATTCAAACACATTGGTCAGTTTTTTCATAAAGGTACTATCAAGATTGTACGTCTCAAAAATAATAAAAAAATAAATACCTTCTTAAATTTTATTTTTTATAAAGTACTATAATGTTAGATAAAGTTTTGTATATTTTTTCTCATTCACACGTTTTTTAGATTCAATGTATGATTATTTGTCATAATCAATATAGAATATTTATGAATAAATAGTGTGAATAAAATCTTAAAAATATAGACAGTTTGGTCATATTTTATATCACTTCTGTTTGACAGGTCTTCTTTCCAGACACAGAGAGGGTAGAATGGATAAACAAGGTAAATCCTCATGCTTTTATTACTAGTTACTTGCACCATCCTGCATCTTAACCATCTGCAGTGGTTAAGGAAAAGGGTGACTATTGTTGTAACATGTTCTAGAATTCTAGTCCAGTCAACGTTATGATAACAAATTAACTTGTTTCTTCAAGTTTAGGCCTAAGTTCTCAAACAATATTTCAAATAGTAGATTAGATGCAATAACTTCCTTGATACCGAACTGAACTGATTCAGTCATCAATGAATAATATATATAATAACCGTATTTCTACATATCACAACAAACTTCTTGATTTTTAGCCTTTATGAACTTTCTAGATCTTAACAACATATGCCTACTAACAAACATCTCAATCAAAACGTTGAAAATAGAGCTTACAACACTATGTTACTAAATAAAATTTGGGGCTGTTTTTGAGTTAATGTTTGTTTACCTAAAATAAACATCATTTATCTGTGTAAAAAAGAAACAGAGAACTCCTGCTATAAACAAATCAAGTTCAAAATAACCAAAGTCTAAATATTTGATTAACATTTTAAACCTATGATTTTTTTTTTACACTTAATTGAATTAGCTTCTCCTCTTGCACTTATTCAAAACCAAACATCTAAAGAGACATTAAAGAAGAAATGGCAGTAGATGTCATTGATGGTTCATTAGCAATTTCTTACTTTGGTAAATTCTTTGAATTTGGTGGCTCCCTCTAGCTGCTAAAAGGAATCTGTGGGATTCGTCAGCTCTCTTGTTATAGAAGTAAAATGTAACAGTTTTCTTCTTGGTTCAGATATCTGAGGTACTGGTCATCTGTTAACCCTAATCCAGATATCTGAGGTACTGGTCACCTGTTAACTCTGATTCAGATATCTGAGGTACTGGCCATCTGTTAACTCTGATTCAGATATCTGAGCTACTGGTCATCTGTTAACCCTGATCCAGATATCTGAGGTACTGGTCACCTGATAACCCTGATTCAGATATCTAGAGTGGTGGTCACCTGTTAACTCTGATTCAGATATCTAGACTAGTGGTGGTCACCTGATAACCCTGATTCAGTTATCTAGAGTGGTGGTCACCTGATAACCCTGATACAGTTATCTAGAGTGGTGGTCACCTGATAACCCTGATTCAGATATCTAGACTAGTGGTGGTCACCTGATAACCCTGATTCAGTTATCTAGAGTGGTGGTCACCTGATAACCCTGATTCAGTTATCTAGAGTGGTGGTCACCTGATAACCCTGATTCAGTTATCTAGAGTGGTGGTCACCTGCTTGAAGACAAATGTTCAAGGTTGCAAATTTCATTTGCCTTGTTCAAGCTGTGGAATTTTTTGGGGCCTGGTAACTACTCCATGTCTACTTCTATCACCACTGTCGTCTGCCATGTTATGATAGTGTCATCACAGGGAAGCTTTTAACTTATTTGTTATCCTGCAGCTGTATGACTTCTACGTTTGTTTACATTCTAATGTGGGTTTAACTATATTACATCAAGATCTGTCTGAGGTGAAGCTTTGTGAGCAGGGTTGTTACAATGAACTGTTAGGGTGGACAAGCCAGTATTACATTAGGAGTTTCCCATCTTGTCCTGTCTATCATTGATGTTAATGTCCCTGCTATTGGCTCATCTGAAAACAACCAAACTTTGGCCAAAGAAAAAGTACTTGTGATTACATAGTAAACCATGACGAGAATGGTCAATTTTCACAAACTGTATTACGAAAAACCTTGCACTCTTTGTAGCTTCTTACTAAACATTTGCAGGACCTGGTCATATGTTAAGTTATACAACATCAAGTAGATATACGTGATATAAAACCACAGCATGCATTCTTTTACATCTTAAAGGAGGTTAAGAAAAGGCTGTCTGATGTGGTCATATGTCATCTGGTCATATGTTAAGTTATACAACATCAAGTAGATATACGTGATATAAAACCACAGCATGCATTCTTTTACATCTTAAAGGAGGTTAAGAAAAGGCTGCCTGATGTGGTCATATGTCACCTGGTCATATGTTAAGTTATACAACATCAAGTAGATATACATGATATAAAACCACAACATACATTCTTTTACACCTTAAAGGAGGTTAAGAAAAGGCTGTCTGATGTGGTCATATGTCACCTGGTCATATGTTAAGTTATACAACATCAAGTAGATATACGTGATATAAAACCACAACATACATTCTTTTACATCTTAAAGGAGGTTAACAAAAGGCTGTCTGATGTGGTCATATGTTAAGTTATACAACATCAAGTAGATATACATGATATAAAACCACAACATACATTCTTTTACACCTTAAAGGAGGTTAACAAAAGGCTGTCTGATGTGGTCATATGTCACCTGGTCATATGTTAAGTTATACAACATCAAGTAGATATACGTGATATAAAACCACAACATACATTCTTTTACATCTTAAATGATCTGTCTGATGTGGTTTTATATCACGTATACCTACTTGATGTTCTGTAACTTAATAAGTACTGCATACATAGTAATCTTTGAGAACTAGATCTGAAAGATCACACTTTTTCAATGTAAACATATCTAGATATTCAGATGGTTCCTTTTATTATTGTAATTAGTGATGTCAGCAAGTGTATAGTCCATGAGTTCATCCAGACATTAGTAAAGGTTGCATCATCATCAGTCCATAATTACAAAGCAAATTCATAAAATGATTAGGGGCTACTGCTGCCAATGCCATTATTGTTAACTTTTCTGAGGGGTTGGTTCTACAAGGATACATCTACAGCTGTACTGGAGGTGCTAGTGTCACTGTATTGTTGTAAAGAGCCACTCCTACAAGGATACATCTACAGCTGTACTGGAGGTGCTAGTGTCACTGTATTGTTGTAAAGAGCCACTCCTACAAGGACACATCTACAGCTGTACTGGAGGTGCTAATGCTACTGTATTGTTGTAAAGAGCCACTCCTACAAGGATACATCTATAGCTGTGCTGGAGGTGCTAGTGCTACTGTATTGTTGTAAAGAGCCACTCCTACAAGGATACATCTACAGCTGTGCTGGAGGTGCTAGTGCTACTGTATTGTTGTAAAGAGCCACTCCTATAAGGATACATCTACAGCTGTACTGGAGGTGCTAGTGTCACTGTATTGTTGTAAAGAGCCACTCCTACGAGGATACATCTACAGCTGTACTGGAGATGCTAGTGTCACTGTATTGTTGTAAAGAGCCACTCCTACAAGGATACATCTACAGCTGTACTAGAGGTGCTAGTGTCACTGTATTGTTGTAAAGACCCACTCCTACAAGGATACATCTACACTCCTACAAGGATATATCTACAGCTGTACTGGAGGTGCTAGTGCTATTGTATTGTTGTAAAGAGCCACTCCTACAAGGATACATCTACAGTTGTGCTGGAGGTGCTAGTGTCACTGTATTGTTGTAAAGAGCCATTCCTACAAGGATACATCTACAGCTGTGCTGGGGGTGCTAGTGCTACTGTATTGTTGTAAAGAGCCACTCCTACAAGGATATATCTACAGCTGTACTGGAGGTGCTAGTGTCACTGTATTGTTGTAAAGAGCTACTCCTACAAGGATACATCTACAGCTGTGCTGGAGGTGCTAGTGCTACTGTATTGTTGTAAAGAGCCACTCCTACAAGGATACATCTACATCTGTGCTGGAGGTGCTAGTGCTACTGTATTGTTGTAAAGAGCTACTCCTACAAGGATACATCAACAGCTGTACTAGAGGTGCTAGTGTCACTGTATTGTTGTAAAGACCCACTCCTACAAGGATACATCTACACTCCTACAAGGATATATCTACAGCTGTACTGGAGGTGCTAGTGCTATTGTATTGTTGTAAAGAGCCACTCCTACAAGGATACATCTACAGTTGTGCTGGAGGTGCTAGTGTCACTGTATTGTTGTAAAGAGCCATTCCTACAAGGATACATCTACAGCTGTGTTGGAGGTGCTAGTGCTACTGTATTGTTGTAAAGAACCATTCCTACAAGGATACATCTACATCTGTCTGTTATCTTCAACCAGAAGTAAGGTCTTTTATCCTTGACCAGAAGTTGGGTTTGTTATCTTCAACCAGAAGTGAGGTCTGTTATCCTTAATTGACCAGAAATGAGGTCTGTTATCCTCAACCAGAAGTAAGGTCTGTTATTCTTAATATACAGAAACATTAAATTTCTACAGGTTGTGTCATAACTATAATAAGTTATAAGTCAATAAGTCTTAATTTTTATTATTCAGGTGTTCCACTAACTCAGTACTCTAGTAATACTCAGTATAAAATAAGTTTCAAGATGATATTCATTTGTTAATTGTGATGAAATCTTTTAAACTAAAATAGTTCATTTAATTTGTGTACTTGGAGTCATTAAAGATTCTACAGCTTTTTAGCATTCTGCTTTAGTATTATAATAACACAATTGTAACTATATTACATAAGTAAATATATTTTGATGAATGTTTTGATTTTCAGATCGTTCACCAGTTGTGGCCTTACATCGGTAATTTGGTAGAAGATTTATTCCGAGATGATGTTGAGCCTGCCATTCAAGCAAGTTTACCAGCGTATTTACAGAGTTTCAAGTTTGACAAGCTCATTCTTGGGGATATGGTATGTAGATGATCTGATTAATTATTTCTATTAAACAAAGTTGTTGTTTTATTATTATGTAATAGTATTTAATAACTCCAGGTGAAGTTTGACTTACAGAAATATTTTTTGACTTGTCTATTAGATTAAATTTCTTGTACTGATTATCTGATGAATTGTTTTTCTTGGAACCTTTCTACTTGGATTATTATATTTCTGCCACCTGTCTCATTGTTTTACTAACAGAAATTAAAGTACTTAGTAATTGAGATCCCCCATTAGCTCGACAGTAAGTTTGAAATCTCATTATGCTTTACGTCAGACTTTGATACCCATAGTGGGCACAACAAAGATAGCCCATTGTATAGCTTTGTGTTTAACAAGAAACAAACTAGTAATTGAGAAAATAGAAAAACAAATAGGTGGAATATACAAGACAGAATAAATAAAATCTTTATAACATAATCAACAGTGGTGGTAAAATGACTGCATCACCTCGGTTCATGTAATTTTTTTATGAGATTGTGCATTGTGGAAGTGTCAGAACTAGTGTAAAACAGTTATGGGCATTGTGTGGTGTAAACTGACTCATATTTCAGTCATCATTGTGTGGTGTTAACTGACTCATATTTCAGTCATCATTGTGGAAGTGTCAGAACTAGTATAAAACAGTTATGGACATTGTGTGGTGTAAACTGACTCATCTTTCAGTCATCATTGTGGAAGTGTCAGAACTAGTGTAAAACAGTTATGTACATTGTGTGGTGTAAACTGACTCATATTTCATCAGTTTACACCACACAATGCTCATATTTCA